GTGGCGTACGCAAGTTTCTGGGCTCAAATTGTGCGTACGCCAGTTTTATAAATCCGACCCAAGGTGCGCAGAAACGTGCGTACGTACGGTTTTATAAATCTGAATTTTTTTTGGCGTACGCCATTTCCGCCTTTTGGCTGTACGTTCACTTTTAGTATGGTTTCCACGCAATCCTTTATAAATGAGACCCCAGAACTGCTGGTGCTCCTCATGAGCAAAGAAACCCACAAAGTTCTAACTAGAGCTGGGCGATATGACCCAAATTTTATATCACGGTATTTTCAACAATTACACCGGTTTCAYGGTATTTGACGGTATTTTCTTTCCTCACAGCTCAGCTGATAATGTTAAAAACTTTGCTTATTGACTTTTTTCTTTTACATCTGTATCACTGTTTCCCTCCTCTCAACATCTTTTCTTCTTTGCCTGGTTGTAGACAGTAATCATGCATTTAGGTCCAATCGTGAAGGGTCGAGGAAAAATCATTATCTGGTCTATCGTTACGTGTTAATAAAACTTAAAAGGACGACTCAATTTGCACACCAGTCAACTTTGCTACATTACAAAACTACTTCCCCCCGGGCTTTTCACAATAGAAGCAGGCTAGAGTCTCCATGCAGTAACGTCTCCATTTTAACGTAGTACGTTAAATCTAACAGTGCACTGAAGAGTGGTTTACTATTTAGCAATGGTGAAAACCGGATGATTGTTTTGTTTATTTTTACTTCAGACCATATAAGCGGCTGAAACACATCACCCGCTGTCCAGTTGTTGGCGGCCGCGACGAAACGTTCAGCACGTGTTCAGGCTATTTACACCGGTATTCAGAAAAGTCATATCACAACAAAAATAAAAACCGGTTTTCGGTACAAAACGGTATACCGCCCAGCACCAGTTCTAACCAATCACACACTCCGAGCCACAAGGTCCACTCCTCAGTTCTGACTGGGGGGAATGCACAAGACCACTATCACCGGGGCATAGCAGCAGGAGAGCAGACGGAAGTTGTGCTATTTTTTGTCACTCAGCAGGGGGAACAAGACGTGCACCTCGAAGTATAAACCAAGCTTTAGAGATAAGCTGAGAAGCTCAGTCATCCAGGAGGGACTCAGAGTAGAGCCGCTGCTCCTCCACGTCCAGAGGAGCCAGTTGAGGTGGTTCATTTGGTTAGGATGCCTCCTGGTGAGGTGTTCTGGACACGTCCCACTGGGAGGAGACCCAGAGGAAGACCCAGGACACGCTGGAGGGACTACACTCACCGGCCACTTTATTAGGTACACCTGTCCAACTGCTCATTAACACTTAATTTCTAATCAGCCAATCAC